CAAATTATGTGAAAGCATGAGATCATTTCAAATAATGGTGCATTTGCTAAAAAAATTAGAAATGATTTTAAAAAAGCTAGGGTGTGCATTGTGGCTCGTAAAACTTGAGCCGTGGCTCGTGGAACCATGTGTCGCGGTGCATTACATGTATCATGATAGTAGCTTTATGCTGTCAAATGATAGCTTTTGGAGAAACTTTTGACTCGCCTTATTCCTCCGTCCAACGTCCAATTGATGCGAACTAAGTGTTTGTAAAAAGCTCTTTTCAAGCTCTAACTAATGGCTTTGGTCTCATAATCAAATTATTACACAATCAAAATTTAAAAACTTTTTTCAAAATTTATACTTTTTCTTTTTCACGAAACTAAGTGTCCAACTCATTCACTAAAAGCCAAAAGCTATTAACACCATTTAGACCACATGCAATACATGAAAACTCACTTGTGCAACACACCACGCTATATCAAACACTTACAATTCACAATTTCACTACTCAACCACTTAATTCAAAAATATAAAAAGGGGTATTTAAGCACCTTTTTCATCAAACAATTCAAAGTTAATACATAATATGCCCAATTCTTATTTGCATTAGTATTTTAGCCTTATCACAGATATTACAGTTAATAAACTCACTCCTTAGGGCTCAAAATACATTTACAATTCACAAAACACGTAATGCAGGTAAGGATCAAAATGAACTATTCCTAGTTAGCAAATTCAATTGTCAAATATATATAATGACTCAAAAATAAAGAGGCCTACTAAATAAGATCACAGTCCTAAGCCTTTGGTTGCTTTCCTTTATCTGATCCTCTTGAGCTATTTCCTATAATATTGAAGATAATGGGGTGAACACAACCACTTAATAACCAAGTTCCAATTAGCACATACTAATACATGTCAATTAATTTAAATGTAAGTGGCAAATATAATCAATTTTCCAAACCATGTAAAACATTTGAAAGCATAAATTCACATTTCCAGGCATAATAGTACATACTTGAGAAATAATGCTTTTTAACAACTTCCACATAGAAGAGAGCTTGTTACACGATCCAATGACATATACTCAAAAGGGATTAAAACTCAATTCATGATTCTCATTGTTAGGGTTACAATACAGACAACCATGTGCCCTTACTTACTATATTCATGATCACACCTCTCTTATATCTTCCTTATCCCTCTGACATGAAACCGTGGGCTATAGCATAATAGGATAGTCTATAATTCGAGACTTCCTTAGCCTAAACACTTGTGAGGGGATTACCTGACTAAGGTTTACCTAACTCACTTGTGAAACACAGTTTCTCCCATTTTCTCATACTATAGGGTGTCATTCTCCCTAAACTAGCTTCCTTATTGAACCAGTAGATAGTTAGCTAGGTTTAGGTCCCTCATTGAACTAGTAGGATAGTCCCTCATTGAATAAGTGGGACAATATGAATATAATCAATCTGAGAAAGCCATCAACTCAGATGAGAGCCCAACCACATGGATTTAATTCTCTACTCCTCTTTCTAAGTAAACTCCCGCTTTTCTAGATCATGTAATGCATATTCATGCAAGAATTCACATTTAACATATTTCATAGAACTCTAAATAATCAATTTTATTGAACTCTACCATTTTGCAAATCATTAAACTCCTTACAATACATATAATCATATCGACAAGAAATTAATGGACTCTAATCAATTATTTCACTCCTATGACAATAAATCATTGAACTCCTTAACCTCACATTTTCATTAAACTTCACAAATTTAGATTTTATTGTACCATACATATCTCAAGTCATTGAACTCACATTTCTCAAATTCATTGAACTTCATATTTTCATAATCATTGTGCCTCACACTTTAGCAATCATTGAACTCTAAAATTTCAAAATTATTGAACTACATTAAATTACCACTTCATAATGAGCTCTTCAAACAAAGCAAGCCACATTTACATTTTTTAATCAAATCTCACATACTTCAATTATCAAATATCAATCAACAAATTAATTAACACACAAAAGTACAAGATAGAATTCCTCTAGTTACCTCAAACGTTTGAAAGGTCAAAAGTTTTACCCCTTAAATACTCACTCCTAAAGCTTCTAATAAGCTAGAATGGTGCCAATAAGGTTTCTCTACAAGAATTCACAATATAGTTAATCAATATCCACATTTGGGCTAATTTCACTAATAATTCGATATTTTTTAATGCTCAAAATTCATTCTTGACTCATGTAAAAGTATCCATGGGGTTTCTTAGCTTCTTTTAACCCTCATTAACATCATAGAGCTCTCTAATGGTCATTAATGAGATCACATTGCCCCAACTAGTACATTAATAGGGAATTTCAGATATTTAATGCTCTCTAACAACTAATCTCATTAACTCTATAGATACCAAGTTTTATTAGCTCAATCTAGTCTTATTAACTCTATTTAAGTCAATAAGTTCAGACCTATGGCCTATATAGACTAAAAATTACCATTATTAACCAAATCCTAACTTCTACCATTAAAAAAATGAAAGAAGAGAGAAGGATTTAAGTGTAAGAAGCTTACCTTTGATGTTTATAAGTTTCAGAACACTCCCAATAGTCGAACTCTTCAAGCCCTAACATAACTCTTCAAATGCCCTTTCAAAATTCTCTCTTTTCTCTCATTTTCGTGAGCTGCAGATAGGTCTATTTTTGTAAAAAAATGTCCATGCACCACGGCGGACACACAATGAGCCTTAATGCATGGCACAAAGAGGGCTTCCCAAGCATTTCAGCATGTGTACATCATGGCACTTGATACACAAGCCACGGTATGTGGCACAGAATCTTTCCCTTTAAATTTCTTCCTCTTATCATTCTTGAGTGACCTAATTCTCCTTCGGACTCGTGTTTAGGGCTAAAATTAAAAACAAACATACTTGTTAGGCCTCTCTGGCCACACACCTTGCTAATACACTAAATTAAGCTAGTTGAACTTAATTAATCCAGTTTAAAATCGAGGATGTTACAGCATTGGGCTTAATTTCTAATCTCCATATTGTTCTGATTCTAGCCCACATTAGGCCCGCTTAGTTGGATATTTTCTTTTCCTATAAGTTGGCATCTTTGCTTTGACTTTTCCTGCTCCTTTTCTTTCCCCTTATAAATCAAGATTTGACCTTTTAAGATGATATTTTTTTGCCTCCTTATCACTATACATGATAGCTTCTTTAGTCTTCCCATCTAAAAGTACATGACTTTCTCTCTCCTTATTCCTGAAGCTTTTTGCCATTTCAACTTCCCCTTCCAAGTTGTCAAGGACCTAGATCTTAGAGGTTGTGGTCAAGGACTTCTTTGCTCTAGGTTTTCTGATAAACTTTACTTGTTCTTGTCTATTATCTGTAGGTTTTTCCTTCTTCTAACAGCGAGGCTTTCTTGTTTGATGCATCAAGTTCCAGGTTTCATATAAGTTCTTGGCGCCAGGTTATTTTTTCATTGGAGGAGGTGTCAGTGTGCTTGGACTAGGTGCTTCATTTTGGTTGCAAGATGATCCATTTGCCCTATATTGTCGAGGGTAATTTTCCCTTCGATGCCCATACCGTTCACAAGCAAAGCAGATTTAGGTAAAGCCTTTATACACCATATTAAAAACAGAGCTTGCAACTATGACTCTTGGCATAAGTTTTTTCTAGAGGTCAAGCTCCATACAAAGCCTTGCAAACTTCCCTATTTCTATTTGTGCCTCATTTTCCATGAAATCAGCAAGGTTTTTCATGTCAACCTTAAAAGGTTTACCAATCCTCTCTCCTAGTCTTGAAATAAAATTCTTGTTGTAGCAATGCATTGGAATGTTTGGGATTCTAACCCAAGTAGCAACTCTTCCTAAAGGATTATAGAAAGGATCAAAATAAGGGGTCCATCTTTGAACCAAGACACAATGTTACTTGACCACCCAAGGACCTTTATACAACACCTTCTTATAGTACACCACCTCCTAGTTAGCATCCTTAAATCTCACCACAAATAGTTATTGGGTAGATCTATCAACTCAAAACTTTTAATCTCCCACAAGTTTCCTAAATAATCTTTTAAATCATAGAAATTAAAATGTTTACCTAGAATTGTGATGATCAAATTGAATTCCTCTTGAGTAATGGGAACTTCTAAGTATAAGTTTTTCAGCTATTGGATTTCTTCTGAAGGTTCAATAAGGGTCTAGTTGATTTCATCATCATCCAATATCAGATCCTCATCTTTAATAATTTTACCCTCATTAGCAACTCCATTTGTTCCTAATAGGAAGTCTCTATAGGAAGTTTGTTTCTACTCTTGTTTGTGTTTACTTTCACCTCTAATCTAGTCTTCCAAGATAACAAAGGTAGTTTCGCTAGCTTCGTCACCAATGTCCATTATCGTCTCATCCATGATATCTTCCACTATAGGACTTGTCGAATTATATGTCAATTTTTTTCCCTTTGAATCTGGAGGAGAGTCATCCGTAGGCCTGCCTGGAGGTGGCTTCTGATGACTTGAGTCATCAATGAGAAAAAAAACCACAAGATCAGCATAGAAACCAAGAGAGAGAGAACCAAAGGCTTGCCCAATTAGTGAGATTGAATTATTGAATTGCAACAACTAAACAAGTTACCATTAAAACAATAATAATCCATACCTTAGTTGATTATTGGTTTAAATATAATCCTTTAATTAGCTCCTTGTAAAACACAAATCCTGTTGGGGGCTTTTCTTTTCCATTCTCCTAGATTAAAAGCTCATATCCTTGCATAAAGTGTTCATCAGATCCATACTACAATGCACTTGTATTGTTAGAACAATAATCAATTTTGTTGTGCAAAAAAACAAAAACATAATCATTTTATAATTAATATATTGACCTTTATTCAAATTCAAATATATATATATTTTTTGAATGTTGAATGTTGAATATTTAATGTTCTTCTTAATTTAAATTATTCTGGGACCAACCAAGTTGCTAAATCAAAACTCAAGAGGTTATTCCCGCCTTGGAGCCCAGATCAAAAGCATACGTTTTCGGAAAAAGCAGCTACAGAGAAATATTATACAGTTACGCACATGCGTTCGCGTCTGATTCCATTCCTTCCAAAGCAAAGGCACAAAAGAAGCAAGATCATATGAGTGCTATCAATAGTGACGACAACTAATTAAACACTGGCTTGGCACCTTGCGAGGAACTCCTCCAGATCAGGGGGCTTGAAATACCCATACATGAAGGAAATTTTTAGGAAAAATTGAAGAGAACAAACTGATTTCTTTGCAAAGCTAACTGAAACATCCTAGTTTCATGAAAAAGATGTCACATTTCTACTTTACATCTAATGTTCTTGAACACCCAGTTGCAGATTTGGTTTCCCCGTTAAGCACCTGTCATCGGGAGAATTAAGGCCAAGGTGCGAGACTGTGATTGAAGAATGTACTCTCTACTGATTTTGTCATGCGTTCTGATTTGTTGTTCAAGACTACGTCTGTGGTGGTGGGTTTAGCTCGGAGTGGAAGAATCTCTCATGCACGCAAATTGTTTGACGAAATGCCAATCAGAGATTCTGTTGCTTGGAATGCCATGATAAGTGGCTATTCTCAATTGGGACTTTACCACGAAGCTCTGTCTCTCTTCGGTGACATGAGAGTCTCCCATTCTAGACCAGATAACTTTTCGTTCTCTGCAACGCTGAATGCGTGTGCAGGCGCTTGCCATCTTCAAACTGGAACAAGAATTCATGCTATGATTGTTGTTTCAGGGTACTCATGTTATCTTCCTGTATGTAATTCGCTGATTGATATGTATGGAAAGTGTTCGAGTCCTGACCATGCAAGCAAAGTCTTTCATGAGATGAGCTATAGGAATGAGGTGACATGGTGTTCGCTTTTGTTTGCATGTGCAAATTCCGGTCTGTTCAGCATGGCCAATGACCTGTTTCATAGGATGCCTATAAGGGTTGAAATTGCTTGGAATATAATGATTGTGGGATATGCTCAAGGTGGAAAAGTTGAAGCATGCCTGGATATGTTTAAAAAAATGTGCGAGAGTTTGTACCTTCCTGATCAATGCACTTTCAGTGCTCTCATGAACGCTTGTGCTGGTTTATCAGATACTTTATATGGATGCATGATTCATAGTTTCATTATTAAATCTGGCTGGACCTCGGCTGTAGAGGTAAGGAACTCAATTTTGAGCTTTTACTCTAAATTAGGTTGTCATGATGATGTAATAAAAGTACTTCGGTCCTTTGAAGTTGGTGTATTCAATCAAGTGTCCTGGAATGCCATCATCGATGCCCATATGAAAATGGGAAATACCCAGGAAGCTGTTCTTGCTTTCCAGAAAGCTCCTGAGAGGAATATTGTTTCTTGGACTTCTATGATTGCAGGGTATACAAGAAATGGTGATGGAGAACAAGCTCTTCATATGTTTGCAGACATGGTGAGAGAATCAATCCAGCTTGATGATCTAGTTGCTGGAGCAGTCCTTCATGCGTGTGCTAGCTTAGCGTTGCTAGAACATGGGAAAATGATCCATAGTCGTGTAATTCAGTCCGGCTTACACAATTACGTCTATGTTGACAATAGCCTGGTTAATATGTATGCTAAATGTGGGGACATCGAAAGTTCAAGGCTTGCATTTTATAGCATTGTTGAGAAGGATCTGATCTCTTGGAACACAATGTTGTTTGCACTGGGACTCCATGGGAGAGCTAGTGAAGCTCTGTACATTTATCAAGAAATGGTAGCATCTGGTGTAAAACCAGACGAAGTAACCTTCATAGGGATTCTAATGACTTGCAGCCACATGGGGCTTATAGACCAGGGCCTCAAGTTTTTTGAATCAATGAGGTTAGATTATGGGCTTCCCCATGGAATAGATCATGTAGCTTGCATAATAGACATGCTTGGAAGAAGTGGGTATGTTGCAGAAGCCAGAAACATTGCTGATAAGTATTCAAAAACCATCACTGAAAGGACCAACTCACAGGAAGTTCTGCTTGGTGCTTGTTATTTTCATGGAGATATAGGAACTGGGGGTGTTGTGGGAGAAGATTTGAAGAAGTTAGAGCCATTAAAAGATGATGCTTATGTGTTATTGTCAAATTTGTATAGTGCAAGTGGGAAGTGGAAGGAAGCAGAGAGGTTAAGGAAGGAAATGGTGGATCAAAGAGTGAAGAAAGTGCCTGGAAGTAGTTGGATTGAAGTGAAAAATAAGGTTGCTGCTTTTGTTTCTGGAAACAATTCACATCCTCAAATGGGTGACATATGCAAGATAGTTTACCTTCTTGAATTGGAAATGAGGCATCCTTGCCCTGCTCATTTTTATTTTATTGGACATTCTCTGCGTGGATACATGTGATGTGATAAGATAGAGTGATAGAAAATTAACGCATCTGTCAAGATATAAAATTAACACATCTGTCAGATACAAAATTAACATATTAGTTAGAGTTATTTAACTCCAACCTTTTTATTAATGAATTCAGAAACTAAATTCTTACTTGGGAGTTGGCCATATCCACTTTTGGACTTCATTTGAATGTGCTTTCAACAAAATTAGTTTCAATAAAAAATGTTAAACAACTTTGGACACCCTTAAAGTTTCAGGTGAGTTCTTGAATGGAAAAGCTAGGTTATCAAAGCGGTCTTTAGTTTATTCTTTAAACAACAACTTCAAATTATAATAACAATTTTTTTTTGGCAAAAGAAAAGTTATAATAACATTCTTGTGAATTGACACAATTAAAGAAATGGTGTTGAAAATTTCAAGTTATCATATTACCAATTCATGTCCATTATAGCCGAAGGTACTCTATTGTGTGATGTGGTGAGCATGGGTGCATAAAAATTCTTGAGAAGTGGGAGGAGTGTGCATGACTCGATTAGCTTTTCCTAAAATGTGTCATTTCACTTATCTTCACCTAGTTGATTTATAATTAGGTTGAACTCTCTTTCTTTTAACTTAGGCTTCATAGACCTTTTGTTTTTGGGCTTGGTGTTTAGAATTTAGTATAGACAATTATAATAGTCATTTTGAAAATAAAACTTGTCCCAACATACATAGAAGGACACCACATATATATATATATGGAACTTGAAGCTGCTTTGAAGGAAGATACACCACTAAATTGTTAGAGTCCTCTCAATAAGCATGAATATGTCCACAAAGATTATTTGCTCTTGGTGCCCACAAAATCTCTAAACTTGAAAGTAACAATACCTATAGAGGAATATTTCCAACAAAAGCATTGAATTCTCTTATGAAGCTATTAAACAAGCTCTTATAAGGAGAAGCATGATTATCATTTAAATTAGTCAATACAAGCCATTGGCTATCCCTCTTGGAATCCTTCCTGTGAGACTATTTCTAGAGACATCTTGAAGTTTGAAGGGATACAGCCTTCTAAGATATTCCCATCGAGTAAAAGCGTGACAACAGTGGTGATGCTATTCTGTGAGGTAGCACAAATGAGTAGAGAAGAGCAAAATTAGATAACTTATGCAAAATACACCACAATATTTTTCCCATAATTTACATTTTATAGCATTGACAAGTCCAAGTTCATATATTTATAAATAAAATTCAATATATTGACAAACCAATGTTTATAATTGGTAAGTTCATATGTTGGTAAAGTTCAAAAATTAATAAGTAAAGGTTTGAATATTGATAACTACAAGCTCAAATATTCACAAGTAAAAATTTATATATTAAAAAGTTAAGATTCAGAATTGACAAGTTCATATATTAATGAAATTAAAAATTGACCAGTAAAAATTCAAATATTGACAAATTCAAGTTCATATATATATATATATATATATTATATATATATATATATATATTCACAAATAAAAGTTCATATATTGGCAAGCATTTGTTAACAATAAAGTCAAAAGTATATCGTTTTTAAAAGTTTTAACCAAAAATAAGTTTAAAATTTCAGACATTATTGAATCTATAGTTTAAAGGTAAATTTATCATTTAACCCTAGTTAAAAATGGGAAGGGAGGAGTATGTTTACTAAGTAAACAAATTTTTGTTAGTTACGAAGGTCTATGGATGATAAATGGAGAATCATAAAGTTAGAACCTTCAGGATTTTACATTAAATTAGGGTTGGGTGATGAGAAAGATGATGCCAGGCATTTGCTAGGGCTAGATAGAGTTGGCCCAATTGGAATATTCAAAGGCAGTCAATTTAAGAATAGGTTATCATAGGAGGGGCTTTTTATATCAAAGAGGTGTTTGTAATAAGCCATTAATTATCTCACAACAAAGCCAAGAGTCTTTGATTCAAGTGGTAGCTAGCAAAGCATTCTTAATTATAATCTTCATCTATCACAAATTCAAGCCGTGCCTGCAAATAATTTAAGAAAAAAAAAAAGTAATCTGATACCAAACAAAACATGTCACATGGAAATCTATGGCCTACTATTTTCCACTTCACCCAAACAAACAATTACCAACTCTATTTCCTTGTCTCCTACCATCCAATCCTCACTACCCACGTAGCACTTCCTCCAATCCCCACCTACTCTACATTATTTTTTTCACCATAATTCATTCATGTTCACTGTTCTTGTTTCCCAGTTTTTTATTACCTGCTGTACAATCATTTTCCTACTATAATAAAACCGAGGCATTTTAAGCATTGTATCTTGTTCAAATCTTTCCATTGTTTCGCTAAACTATTACAAGTAAGAGTCTAGAAGGAGAGTTGGTCCAAAAACACCGACATATTGAATAAGAAAGCTCATCATATTTATTTTGCAAGGTTTTTCAATATAGAATTGGGATAATTTCAACTAAAAATTATAGATGTGATTTAATTATTAGTGGATCTTAAAAAAATTTAAAATTTTAGTTCAATTCAAAAGAACTGAGGTGAAAATAATTTCAATGATGAAGAGACTAAAGTATTCTTTACTTATTAATTTTGTTCAAGATGCAGAATCTTAGCTGTTACCGATATGAGTTATAAATTATTACATCAGTTTGTCAGACAAGTAATAACATCAGTTGTTAATTTACTAACTTTACTTATTAATTTGCTAACATTAATTATAGTAAATTAACAAGTAAAGTTAATAAATTAATAACTGATATTCTTGCTTGTGATTGAATAACTAATGCTCAAGTCTTGTATGATTATTGACAGGTCAAGTTATATAATTTATAACTCATATTGATAAATTAACAAGTGAAATAAAAAAACTAACAATTAATGATTATGCATCTTAAACAAAATTAATAAGTAAAACGTATTTTAATATTTTTATCATTAAAATTATTTTCACTTCAATCTTCTATAACATTTATCTTATGAGTTTATAAAAGTTGGTGGCATTTAACCCATAACCTTCCTCAAGTAAAAGGACTACTTTGTTATTAGAGGAATGCACTAAATGCAATTGACTTTTCTTTTAGTAAAAAAAAAAAATAAGTTAATTGGATTTTAAAATTTACTAAAGATAGATAATGTTTGCTTTTAAGTTTAAAAAGCACTTATAAAATATTAATAAATTATTTATTAATAAAATTATCACATCAATAATAAAATTTAAACCCATGACATTATGAATTATGAGTTAGATTCTGATATATTTTATTAGTGATATCAGATATAGAATTATGTTTTTTTCGAAATAAAAAAAGAAAAAATCCATCGTTCTCTCGGTCCCCCTTTACGTATATATTTATATATATATATGGTGATGGTAAATTTGGGTTTGAGTCCTAAGTATCTCGAGGTGAGGCAATCATAACTCCACTCACTCCAACTCTGTGATAGGATCTCTTTCATATTCTTGATTTCTTTATCATTGGCAAATGGCTTCACTCACTACTGTTCATCTTCTTCTTCAACAACCTCTTCTCCTCATATCCTTCATCATCATCATCGGCTTCTCTCTCCTCTCTTCTTCTTCTTCTTCTTCTTCGTCTCCTTTCAGAGAACTGTCCCCAGACATTGCTCCTCTCTTGCCTTCTCCAGGTGGAGTTTTGCCCGCCCCGACCGCCGGTTCAGACATCCCCACCATTCCTTCAACCCCAAGCCCTCCCAACCCGGACGACGCTTCTTCTCCGGCCGGTCCACTCTCTGCACTCTCGCCATTCGGCTCAGTTCGACCGGCTTCAAACACTCCTCCAACATCATCATCAGCCATGGCTGCTGCTCTTGCAGGTTCTCTACCTTGCTGGTTTATTATATTCACACTCTGACAAACTCGAAGAATCCATATGTGGATGTGTGAGCGATTGGAACATTATTCAATTACTGGTGTTTGGAGTTAATAATTAGATTGGTTAGATTATTATTGATTATTGTATGTTGTCTTTACTATTTGTATGTCATGATCTTAAGGGTGTATTATTACTGGCTTGGGAATCTTTTTTTTCTCTGGGTGATTCTACTGTAGATTTTCCTGGCTGTAATTATTTAGGTTGCCTTTTTTCTGTTGTTTGTGTTGATCCTTGATGGGCTCAAAAGATTCTTTATCTTTCCAATCAGATTCCCATGATTGAACCTTTTGTGCCGTCATTTTTGCAATTCCAGCTTCACTCTTTCTCATGTATAGCTGGATTCCCCTTTGCCAATTATATATAATCTAATTTTATTTTAATTACTCCTACTTGGATTCACAATTAATTATAACTAAATTAAACATGTTGCTCGACAATATTAATTGTTCTACCAAGTACTGCATTTGGTCTTATCTATGAAATAGAAAGAATGATTTTATCATGTATATAAATTATATTATTAAATTTTTATCACAAATTTTTTAATTTACTTTGATTTCATTGAATATTGGTAAGAAAAAATATGTTATTAAAGTATAATATTTAATACGAGTAAAGTTGAAACATTATTAATTTTTTAAATAAAGTTAATAATTTTCAATTTTTTTAAATTTCAATAAAACTCTTTCGAATTTATTACTTGTAAATAGAATTGCAAGGAGTTTATGATTAATAACTTGTGAATATATTGCTTTTTAAATAAAAAAATATCTGGTATTAATATAGTACAGTTTAATCATATTCGGCCATTATCAGGTTGGACTGGAAAAATTTCTTTCACATGAATTTTTCTTCCACAAGCATGTTCAAGCCTTGGAAATTGTAGATGTGCCAATGGGTTTAGTGAAGGTAATATGATTATATGTGTTATATAGCTATGATCATTTTTGCATATTTATCTCTTATTAATTTAATTTAACCAAAACTTTTTTTTTAACAATTAACAAGTAAGAGAATAAAGTAATGAAATGCGAAAATACAGTGAACTTTTGGACATTATGACGTTAATTAAGCATCAGATGAAGATGATTCTAGGACTGTGATGCCTGCATGTCTAGCAATGTAATGAGATGTGATAGAACATGATTTTATGGGAACAGAAGGGGGGCATGTGAGGAGACATACAATAATGATAAGGAATTAGATGTCTTTATTTTTTAAAAAAATTATGTTTAATTTAATAATCTAATAATGGATCACATGCTGGCCTTTCAAAATTGCAAATTTCATTTTAGTAACAGTGTTCAGGTAGACATGTTTTTTGTCTGTTTTTGCTGTCTTCTTCTCCCTCACAGACCTTGGATTCCTTGTTAGGTACTCCCTCTCACTTGTCCCCCTTATAATATTTAGTTGAGAATTTTACCCTATAATGCTATATATATATATATATATATATATGATTAATGAGTTCCTATTTGTTACCTTAATTTTTATCATTTAATGACTAAAATATTTTTTTAGTTCTTTAATTTTATACAAGATTTCATCTTAATTTTTTAATTTTATAAAGTGTTTTTTTCAATCTTATAATACTAACATTATTAGTTTCATTACAATAAATTTTTACATTAAATTTTTAAATATTTAAAAAATATTATTAAATGTTGACATATTAATTTTAATTTTTTTAAAATAATAATAATTATTATTATGAAAAATAATCACTTGAAACTAATATTGTTAGAGTTAGATAATTGAAAAAATACTTTATAAAATTAATAGACTAAATTAAAACTTTATATAATATTAGAGGAGCAAAAGTATACTTCAACTTAATTTAATTTTATATCATTCATCAAATGAAGTTTAAATATTTAATAGAAATTCATTCATTGTTATGTAAATGAGATAATTTTTAAATGGAATGGAATGGTATGAAAGTTAATTGTAATTTGAAAATATCTTTTGCATTTTTGAATGAAAATAATTGAAAATATACCATGTGTAATTGTTGTTGTTGTTGTTTTTTTTTTTTTTGGCTGAAATCATGCGTAACTTGACCTTTTACCAACCTTAACGTTGCAATTTTTTGGGCATTTTGTCATTTAGGAGGCAGGGTGAATGTGTGTGAGTTGGAGAGTCCAACTTGGTGCTCATTCTTTGCAACGAGATTCTAGATTTTTTTTTTAATTTAAGTTAAATGGTTCGTATTCATAATTTTTAAATTTTGACAACTGATTTCTTATTTCTTTGAAAAAAACATAATAGTTAGAGAATTGTTTTTATTTAACAAATTTAAAACCTAGGATTAAAGGGTAATTTGGTCTCTAAATTATAAGTTTAGGAATATTTAGAATCCTAAATTCATTTTTAGTACGATATTTTCTTTTAATTTTTAAAAATGATATAATGTTGCTCATATTATTAATAAAAGTTGACTTCAACCATTAATTGGCCAAAAAATGACATAAAAATTATAAACAAATTACAGAAAATGATTCAAAAATTATAGACAAGAATCCAAAAAACTAAAGAAAAGAATCAAGTAAATTTTCTTGATCATTTTCTATAGTTTTGTAAAATTCTTTTATGTCATTTTTTTAATCAACAAATAGTGAAAGTTAACCTTTGTTAATAGTAGGGGCAACATTGTAACAAAAATAAATTTAGAACCCCATACGATCGAGAATTTAGGTCTCGTTTGATTATTAAAAAGAAATGAAATGAAATAAATTAAAAAAATAAGACAAAAATAAACTAAATTGTCTATCCTCTCATGGTTAGCATAATAAAACTCATTAATATATATTACAAATATATGAATTATAATACTCTTCAAAAATCTCATAAATCGTAATTTTCAACCCTATGAATTAAATTACTCCTCCCATTTATGAATGTGTTTACCTATCCTCTTTTATTATTTTATTTTTTTACTTTATTTTTTTAATTTATTCCATTCTTTTATAGTAATCAAACGGGACCTTATAATTTAAGGACTAAATTACTATTTCACCCTTAAATCTAAATTGTAACGAAGAGAATTTTAGATTGAAGACGAGCACACTCCGATGAGAATTGGATTAGCACGTAAGTCAGTTGATTCATTCCAGTCCCCAGGAAAATACCCAAACAAAAGGGAAGCCACAGACTAGGCCATATGCAAACATTCGAAGCGGTTCTTGATTTATCTTCTCAAGAACAAATATCAAACCTTGTGAGTAAACTAAACCAATGAAAGGAATGGAATGGGGAAAAAATTCAATCAAACCGATATAAAGATTCTACGGGGAAAAAAGAAAGTCATACACGTGAGACTAGACGCCAGAAGGACATATTTGGAAACAGAATTTCAAGGAATGATCACATGGAACGAAATGAAAGGTGAGGTTGGTTAGAATTCAGTAAAAAGTCAAGAGTTTCTCCTACAATGGCGCCTCACAAGATTTGAGTTTGACTCTGTGTGCCCCTTTAATCGGAGGTTAGAAGTGACAAATGTTGCCGTTCCTACTTAATCTTGGAACCCGTTGCTTATTACTCCTTCACTTGAGATTATGTTTAAGCATAAGACTCCTCCATAAAATTAACTCGCTTGAACTCTTTCCTCCATGAATGGGATTTATTATGCTGGAAGAAGAGGAAAAGAGACAGACCTGAGATTTGAATTACTGGATTGCTCAATAAAGAATCGGTCGTAGCCTCATCTTGAAAAAAGCAAAAGAGCTTATCAAATTCATCTTTTGCTTTGGATTGCTTTCGTTCTATTCTTTGGTGGATTATTATAGTTCAAAATGACATGCAAACCTCCAACTCGTTTCTCTTAGTTTGGTGCCGGCCGAAGTTTGTTTCACATAAATGAGAAATTGGTGGCTTCACTTATTATTAATGAAGATATTACTCAATTATGGACCCTTTTCTCTTTAGTCAAGATGGTTACTGTGAATAATTTTTCACCTTTTGACGACATGTGCCCTATCTTTAAAACTTTTAGGAGTTAACTTTTTGGATTAACTCTATTCTTTTACTTCTTTAGTTTGATTTCATTTCTATTGATATGACTTTGATTTCAATTAAAAAAAAAATACGCCTTCATAAATTCTCATCAAATTTTTAAAGGTGCAAATTAACCTACTTATTTTCAAAAATTATCATATCTAGATCATCAAATCTAATCTGACAATGCAAAGTTGCAGTGTTCCCTCCAAAATGGAGAGAAACCACTTCTTCGCAAGTTTCATCCCCCGTCCTTTAACCTTTCGACTTATTGGACAAAAGGAATCAACTCATAGGGGTGTTGGTAACAAAAAAATTCCTTCAAATGGTATATTTACATCTACAAACAGATAAAATTAACAATCATTAAAATTTATCATATATATAGAGAGACCGCGCGCGCGCATAGTTTCACTGTTCAGTGAACTAATAGTAGTTTTTCCGAGTTCCATGCTATAACCTGACCCATGACCATTAACCATGGAAAAAATAGTAAATCTATTTTTACTCCATAATCTGAGGCAGTGTTTCAAGAATTAGTTGATTTTCCCCCTTTTGGTTGTTTTGTTTTGTTTTGTTTTTTAAACCAACGGTCACAGCATAAACTTTCCGCAAATGACATTAAAATTTAAAAACACACAAGTTACTCAAGTTCTACAAATTGCATATTGGATAGTCAAGGAAGAAACAGCTCATACTGAAATAAGATAAAATCAGTAACTTTTGAATCCCTTCAGCCAATATGGCGAACCTTTAAAATTGACTTCAGAGTCCTCTATGATAGTTTAAGCACTTTTAGATGCAATTAGATTCTCAATCATGTCAGCTGCTTCTTGAACGGTGGTAATTTTCTGGGCACTTTCTTCTTCCACGCTAATACCAAACTCCTCTTCAAGTCCCATCACAATTTCAACCTGCAAAAATTTTGAAATGCAAGTCAAAATGATTTAACAGCATGGAAGAAAATCATGCTAAACAAGTTATGCTGACAAAAGTCATGAAGACTCAAAACTAGGACAACCTAAGCGGCCCAATTTTTTTTTTGGCAAAAAAAAAAACATATTTGTTACTACAAGGTAAGGAGTTTGATTGACGATGCAGATACTGCAAAAGCATTGTCAAAAGATAGCCCTGTTACTCCTGTATACCAACCAACAGCCAGCTTTTACCAGTCAAATCCATATGGGCCAGCAAGTAACCCGGTTTTGAGAAGGGGTCAAAAAAACATAAGACATGGGCCTTTTTGACCCACACCTCGTGAAGAGTTGAGGAGTTTGGATTTCTATTTAGAGTTTCTACTCAGCTACTCTCTAGTCTATAGATGTCCCCTCTTGTTGTGAGCAGAGCAGCTACAATCAATTTTTATTTTGACGTGAATGTTCAAATATTTTATAGCATGAACAAAGCAAGGACAAAAGTGACATTACCGTGTCAAGAGAATCAGCTCCAAGTGCAGCAAATTTGGACTCCCCATCGACGGTGGAGCCTTCTGGCAGTGCCAATTGTTTCTTGACTATCGCACACACCTTGTCAACTGTCTCTGGTTTAGCCTGCTCAAAATTCAAAATTTCTTGCCAATCACATAATATGATTACTTATTACAGAAGTCAGGCCACGATAGTACTAGACAGAAAATGTCAAGTTTTCTGCGATTCCAGCATGCTTTGTCATGAAGATGGTTCAGAACAGTGTCAGCTTTTACAATGCAGACAGGCGCATACATGATATCCAACTTAAAAAATTATGGTGCAGGAGCAACCTTTTCTATTTTTTGGGAGTTACAAACAACATTTCTACAGAGTTTATTTAAATTAAAAAATTTATAATTAAAATTAAAAAAATTAATTAATATAACGTAATTTATATTTAAATTTTTTTTAAATTAATTAGATAAATTAAAATTTATTTAAATAATTTAACTTAAAAGTCAGTTAAAATTTTTAATGATTAAAATAAATATAAATTTTTTTATCTATTTTTTAATTAATTAATAAGTAAAAAATATTAAATTTAAAATTATAATTAATAAATAAAATATATTAAATATTTAATAATTAATTATAGAGTGGTATAAAATAAATTATTAATTATTAAAATCATCAAATCCACTAATTTGCCACTGATGGACATTTATTCAATATTGTACGCTCACATGAATTTAACACATGGCATTGTTCTCTCTCACTCTCTCCTCGCCATTGTATCTTTTCTTCTTCGTCCTCCTCCTTCACTGATAAAACAATCCCACTCTTTCACTCTCTCTCCTCACCATCATATATTCTTCTCTCTCTCCTTACCACTGTGAGTCCACTTCCACCAGGGAATGCTTATACCAGACAAGCATCTCTCTCCTCCCTCTCCCTTACCTCTAGTGTGTCTTCTCTTTCATTCTCTCGCTCCCCCTCCTCACCGTCTGTGAATATTGGGAGCTCCCATGCATATGATGGAGGTTCATCGGAACACCTTGCCATCAACTCTCAGTTCACTTGTGTATGGAACTTGGCAAGAAGAGCCCTTCAACTCTATTTTAAGAGATCGTGGGCTCTATTTTAAGAGCTCAAAAACAGGGGCAGGAAGAAGGAGATCGCAGAGTGTGAAGAATCTTAAATCTAACTAACAATATAATGGCTGAGATGGAACCTCCCATTTTAAATGCTTTAATGGCTGCCCTCAAGTGTGCTCAAGCTGAAAGTGTAGAGCTCGGGAGGTCACAGGAGCAAGAAAGTAACACACACAGGAAGAAAGAGAGCTCGTGGTAGATAAATGAGAAGAGAGAGAAAGCAAAAAAATTTAATAGCCAATTAATGCTTCCAAAAGGCAAACATTAACGCTAAGGGAAAAAAGCCAGGTCCGGTGGCTTCTCAAAAAACGCTCGTTTAACCTTGACTGAGGTTGAAATTTTTTGCTAATCTAAACAATATTTTTTAAACTTTTTATATCCTAAACTTAGTTTGATCTATTCTAAATGAGGTTAGAAGTTAATCCAAACATGCACATAATTGACTGGAATAGAGCTGTTAACTAAAAGGCAAGATGAAAAATTTAAAACTAAAGATATTGTTAAAAACAGATCACTATAAACAAAGGAAAAACAAGATGACGGTTTATTTCTTAAAAACTTACTGCACATTTAACTTGAAACCGAGATGACCTTGACTTCAATTGAATGGATGGAAAAGTTTTCCCTTTAATTGAAAGGGAAACTGAGTTTGGGTTAGAGATCCCAGAAAGAGAGGCCTGTTTTCGCATCCAAAAAGAAGAATTTAATGAGGCATTGGAAGAAGTACATATTTAGAATTTAGAAGTAACCAAAAACACAGAAAAAAACCAAAAACAGGAATAACTTCCTCTTGTGAAGTCATTAAACACACCAAAATCAATAATTAAATTGCTAATTATACGTACAACAGAAACTAAGAAGCAGTTAACGAGATAATCACTTATTATACTGAAAAATGAGAAATTTCATCTAAGATAATTACATCTTTTCCATCAAAACAACAGTTAACTGACATAGACTTATCATCAACTCTGGATAGTACATAGACAAGGTTACCGTGCGATCGGTCATGACTCTGTTAAAGCATGTGGTTGAGTAGAATATTTCAAAGGAAATGACCCAAAGAAGACCTAGTAAAATTCAAAAGATTTTAGAGTTAATTGACTACTAACTACTAATATAAAACCAGGCAAGAAGTTTAGTCTTCCAATAAATAGTTCAGTTCCCTTCGAAGTTTGATTTGGTTAGCCTAGTTACAGACCAAGATTTGAACAAATAAATATGCCAATCATATTTATAGAGAAAAACAAGCAAGAAAAACTCACTTTCTACAGACTGTTATACGACATATCTCCTAGAAATGCACATCACATCAAAATCTGAGACATAAACGAGTCTCCGGCTCAATTTCAAAATAGATAGAAAGAAATAAAAAAAAATGGTTTCCAAAACAGATTAGTACTAAAAGTCACGGAGTTCAATTGACACTATGTCTACTCTAAGACATGGTGCACACAAGAACCTGAGTTAAATTTGTTCCAGCTAAATGCATACGATCCGAACAGATTTAAAACAGAACACAGACTAAGAACCATTGGCACACATTTCACAAACACGGTCGCCAGCGAAATCTAGCTAAATCAATCGGCGAAGCAAAGAAAAGGAAGAAGAAAGAGTTGGATTGCAATACCGGTCTGTGGTTAAAACAGCTGGAGAGAGAGGTCGCGCACATGGTAGTTCCGGTTATGGAGGCCATTTGAGAGAGAGATCTGATCTGAGATTGGAAAAAAGGAAAAAGATGAGAGGAAGGAAGGAAGGTGAAGGCGGAGACCACGAAGAGCGTGCGCGTCTCTGTGTGGGGTTTTAGAAATGAAGAAAAAGTAGGTCTTTATATTTGCTTTCTTCGTCCTGACACGTCCAGGTTAGTTGGCTTCGTAAACATCGAAGTTGATGGGCAGTGTTCCGCTACAACCAGGTTTTAATAATGAGATTTATAAAATCCTCCATCGAGTCCTAATTATAGGAGACGCTTACTATAAAGATTTTTTAATTTTTAATATAAAATATTTAGTAGGTTATTGATAATATTTTTTTCAATATTAACTTTATTTAAATTTATTAACCATGAGAAAAAATACTGTTTAAAGTATTAATTATATTTTTCAACATTAACTTTATTTAAATTTATTAATTATAAAAAAAATGTCATGTAAATAAATTTGTTCATTTAAATAGGAGTAAAATTAAAAACTTATTGCTATTTTTTAGAAAAAGTTAATGGTTTCACCATCTTTATTTGATTCTAGTGAGGTAGTTCAAAATGTCTTATAATAGAGATTGAAAATAATAGTTATTAATTTTTATTGGTATTAATTAGAAAAAATAATAATAAAATCCTTTTGAAAGATAATAAAATGTCTTATATCATAAATAACAATTTAGTCCTTAAAAATGCCACAAATTTCCTGAAGTCTTTTGGAGCCTTTTTTTCATTAATAAATTTATATAAATTATCAAATTATCCTTGTTAAAAATAATGGTTAACAAATTTTATTTAAATATTCACAATTTTTCTTCTTATATTGGCAACAATGTAACAGTAAATCATAATTTTACATGTTAAATTTCTTATTTTTTGTTACATTATTATGAGTATAAAAAGAAAAATTGTGAATATTTAAACAAAATTTGTAAATTATTTATTTTTAAGAAGGATAATTTAATAATTTATATAAATTTATTAATGAAAGAAAAGTCCCAAGAGACTTCAAGAAAATTATGACATTTTAAGGGACCAAATTATTATTTATATATTTTAAAGGAATTTTATTATTATTTTTTATTAATTATTAATAAAATCATGAGAATCAAAATTTGAACTTAAACCCTTATAAGATGTGAATCATATGTTCATTAATTGAGTCAACTTTTTTAAGCCAACCTACTCATAATAAATATATATTCCTTGCAATTAGTCCTTAATGTATAAGGAAAATTATGAAAACTTTTGTTGTGTAAAGTTAGTTTGTTTTGTTTTGTTTTTATTTGTTTATTATGGTTGTATTCCAAGATAGCAATTTATTGTAGTTATTAATTGTAAAAAAGGGTAAAAATTAAAAAATTATATATATATATATATATATATTAATTTTAAAAATGTAACTAACATTTTATAATGAGCGTGAGTTGGTTAATTTTATCTTATAATATTAAGAAGCAAATGGAGTATCTATATTTGGTTGAGCGGATGGAACTCTCAAAACCCAAACAAGACTTTGCAAAAGCTTGTTAGCAGTTGAATCATTCAATTTTATTTTATTTTTTTCCTGGCCAAACAATTCAATGTATTTGGCAGTTTTAACTTGTGAGATTGCATGCTTTATAGGATTCCAATATTGTGCGATTAACATATTGTTTGAAGTTCAACTGTCTTTCATAATTTGAGTGATCAAATTAAAAGATATAGGAATTTTTTTGTGAGAAAAGATATAGAAATTTTAATTATAGGAAAATATCACTTTTTGTTTTTATTTTTTTAAATTATTATTTAATTCTTGAACTTTAACTTAAAATAACTTAGTTCTTATAATTTTTTTTAACTTAAATTAATTGAGCTATAATAATTTGTTGATTGGCACAATTCAAACTTACAATTTGCTAATTTAATAAACAACAAGGACTAAATTATACTGATTTAAAGTTGGAGAATTAAATCAATAGCTGACGGTTGAAGAAAATTTTAAAAACTAAAAGTTATATTATTTATTTAATTATTTTATTATAAAAAATAAATTCAGTTCATTTTAGAAAAGAAAGAAAATAAATATTAAATATGATATAAATATTTTTAAAACACTTTACTGCAAGACCGTGTTCGGAGTCTCAATGAAATTAATAAACATTAAAATATTAAACGATGCAGTTTTATATTTTTTAAAAAAAATCAAAACTACTCCTAAAAAAAATCAAACCGTCCTATTAAAATCAAAACTGCCCGAGATTTTTAAAATGAAAATTGCAACTAATAAAAGTGATTCAATTAAAGAGAATTTAACTCATAATTTATAAGATTATAAGTTTAAATCTCACAGCCCATGTAATACTCTCTCCCTTATGAGCCCTCTGAATCTAATCACCTAAACTTTTCAATTTCTTTCAAGAGTGGGCTAGCTATTATACTCTCTCTAGATTAAAATTTTGAAGCAAGGGTACTTAATTTACAACTCCAAAAAAAAAACTATTTGTTGAAACTTTAATTTTTAAAAATTTAAATTTTTTTAATTTTACTCTCATTAAATATTTTATATAAATACTTTGATAATAATAATTAAAATTTTAATATATTATTTTTTAAAAAAGAATATAATAAATGAAGTAAAGTTATAGTTAAAAAATAATTATAAAAATTATATAATATTTTATATTTTAAATCAAACAAAATTTTTAAAAAATATTTTATGTCGTAGTTTTGAACGAATGGGTATACTCAAAGCAGTTAGGTTGTATGATCAATTGGCCTGGGCCATATGCGCGACGTGAGACGATTTATCGTGGAACTTGGAATATTCTAGAAACCTGAGACTTGGTCGTTCCAATGAGCTATTCCTTCTCACGCTTCCGTTCCCAACAAGCAGTTCAACAACGCATACCAACTTCAAGATCCTCATCGTATTCTTGATTGGGTGGATTAAAGCCGGTAATTTGAACAGGTCGAGTTTATTTGGGTCGGATTTATTCGGATCGAGTTTAAAGCATTCTATCCTTTTTAAGAAGCTCATATAGTCAAACCCGACCCTAACACCTTCGAGCTTATTCGGGCTGGCTCGAATACTCGAAACTTTTTAAAAATATTTTTTTTATTTTTTGAACCAATTTTAATTTTTAAATAATTCTATTAAACGTAAAATATTATCTTAATTTTAAAAAAATAAAATAAAAAATAACTTATTAACTTTGTATTTAAATAGTTCTGTTATTATTTTGTTGTATTATGTATAATTTATTCATGAATGTTTTCTTTACTTATAAATTAATATCTTAGTTATTTAAATATTGCTCTTATCATAGTCATATATAAATATTTTATATATTTTAATTAAATTATATTATTTTAATTATGATTAAGCTAATCTCAATTCAATCACAGTTAGACTGCTAATTTAAAATTATTATCCTGATTAGTTTAAATTTTTTAATAACTTTTAGGTAAATTGTAATTTTTATTTTTATGAATATAAAAAAAAATTACCATCATTATATTATATAAAAAATTATTTAATTATGAGTAAAATATTATTTTTTTAAATCATTTTTCTTTAATTTTTTATATTGTTTAACTCTTATATAAAAGGGATTCTTACTCTAGTTTACTCTTAATTTTTAACCAAATTTAACATGGATAATAACCAAGTAATTATTTAAGAATATTATTCTATTTATTATGTTTATCTAGTAGTAGAGTCGGGAATTCGTACATGTCTAAATTTTATTTTTAAAATTATTTTTAATTTTATTTTTACTTTAAAATTAATTATCTTAATTTATAAAAAATATAAAATTATTTTTTTAAATGCAAATGATTTATAGGACTCAAAAAAATTTTTAACAAAAATTGGGTCTTAAAATATTAAAATATACTTTAAATATTATTTTAAGATATTTTATTGATTAAAAATAATAAAAATATGAAATATAAATATTTTTAATTTTTTTAAAAAAATAACTACATTAAAACACTTAAATATATAGTATTTTGGTATAAAATGATATAAAACTTGAAAAATTAATTAATATTTGTCATATTTTATATTTTTTTAAAAAATTTATTTTTTTATTCAGGTATTCGGGCCAAGCCCAAACTTGATCGGGCTTGGCCCGAATAGGCCCGAACAATAAAAAAATAATATTTTTTGAGCTTGGTCCTAAATTTTTCGGGCGGGTTTGGACTGGCCCGTCAGGCTCTACCCAAATTACCGGCTCTAAGGTGGGCAATGACACTTAAATTTTTTATAATTATAAAATGTTAGAAAAATTAAGTTTTTTGTCCTTCAACTTTTAATTCACTTGTAACTCAATTTCTCAACTATGAATCACTGTAACTCAGTCTCAACTATAACTCGCCTATGATTCAGTCTCTCAACTTTTAAATCACTTACAAATTAGTCCCTGAACTTTTGTTAATTTATTTTTTTGCATGTTAGCTTATATCTCACATCAATGAGTAAGAAGAGGGTATTTTAAAATAATATATGAGCATTTTTTTATTCCTCTTATTTGATAAGAAATTTTTTTAAAAAATTAAAAAATAAGAACCGAATTATAGGTGAATCAAAAGTTGAGGGACTGAGTCGCAGCAAGTTATAATTGAGGGATTGAGTTATAAGTAAGTTAAAAGTTGAAGGATTAAAAGATTAATTTTTTCTAAAATATTTTTAACAATACTCTCTTTAAATTAAAATCTAAGTCATTGTTAACTAATTTATAGTGCTTCTCAAAAAAAGTTAGTTAATATATTATTAATTTCTTAAAAATGCTTATATTTTTTTATTTATACTCTTGAGTGAAATATTTAAACTATTCTTATGAACTAAATTAATTTCATTAAAGCAATGGTGTATATATAAAAAAACACATAAAATTTATCAAATGCCTATATTTTGGACTAAAATGCATATAAAAAATGATTTATATTGTAATTCAGAGAGAGTACGTGCCAACCTCTACAATGCTATGCACTCTGAATCCTTAATCAATGAATTGATATTCCTATGCTTTCAAGTAATTATTTGATTGAGCAATTCTTGAGACTCCACTAACCTTTGATGAGATCAAGACAGCAAGTTTTTAATCTCCCAAAAAATAGGCCCCAGGTCTTGATATAT